TTTTTTTTTTTTTTTTTTTACTTTAAATATATCAACGCCTAGACATCCTGCAATTGCAAACAGAACTGAGAGTCGGGAGACTGAATGCCACCCTGTGCTGTGCACCCAACTCATCCGTTCGGACATCACGTTTCTTCAAGTTTTCTAGACTTTCTCAAAGATTTAACTCTAAAAAATTCTACGATTTCATTACATTGCACTGTTCTTCAGCTGGGCATTTTAAAATCTCTTAGTTTACTGTGTTCCGCATAAAGGTAGATGCCAACAGTTCATACCCATGCAAGTTCTGCAGGCAAATTCTCATCACTAGAGAGTCTCAGTTCTAAGACAGTCCAAATGGCTATGCTCGACTTTACGACTGCAACTACGATCTTAGTTTACTTTTATTTCCCATTAGCCAGTCGGTGGTTTCGAAGATGGGCTGTGTGTGTGTTTTCAGTCCCGGCTTCAGAGTTACCGAAGAAAGTAGCACTGTTTAACAGGCGGGGATACTCTCAGATCCTTTGGAAAGAGCAAATGTAGTGCCTAGAGTGATTCAGTTCCTCTTAGGGAATAACGGACACTCATGGGAAATGGACTTTTGGACTTTCGGTACATCATAGAACAAACGGAAATCTCTCTTTTACTGCGATGGCATGGAGGGGCATAGCAGAGTTTAACGTTCTCTTTAACTCCCTATTAACTATTTGAGGAAACGGAGAACAAATCACGCAATCACGCACCAGCAAAGTAAGGGCTGGTGGAGGTGATTCTACGGTGGTACCGCTTCTATATTGTCTGGGTTGTTTTCCTAATCGGTTTCGCACCAGACTCTTTGTTTAAAGTGTAACGGTCTGGGCCAAAGATACTGGTGTTCAGAAATGATTTCACAGAATGACTGCAGATTATCAACAGATTACATTGTTTTATATCAGGTGTTGTGCGAACATTAAAAAAAAAAACAAAAAACCTGCTTCAGGAGTTTCTGAATATGCAAACTTTGAGCCAAAAAAAACCCCTTAATTAGTTCAAGTAGGTCCATTCGTCCGCCCCTGCAACTGAATAAGTCTTGTCTCTATTAATGTTTGTTTAATTTTAAAACAAGACTGGAACTTTCATCCCAGCTCTGTATAAAAGAATTATTTTCAGATAATAAAAGAATTATTATCCTCATTACAAGGGCCTGCTTCTTCAGGGTTACTAGAGCATGTTACATATTCAAGATGCTTCCTATCCATTGCCCAACACACTCCATTCAAAGGACATTGACATCATAGAGAGGCTTAGAGTTGCAGAAATTTAGTCACAGGGAACGAACGGCTAACCTGAACTGAGAACTCAGAAACACCGAATCCCTTGCTCTGTCCTGTGACACACCGTGTCGCCTCCCCTCCGGCCCAGTCTACCTCCTTCCGTCCCGGCCCAGAAATCCACAGAGTTCTCTGCTTTCTACCGCTGTCTGGGGAACTTATTATCTTGCTGTTTTTTTCAGGAATTCAAGTCACTGGGCTCCTGCATCTTCCTACTTAACACGGCATATCTTAAACTGATAGGAAAATAATTATGGTCCTACCACAGGACTTCTGGCGAGGGAAATGCCTTCACTTTCATAGACAGCCTGTAAGACCGCTTGCCAGCAACAGTTTCCAACACTTGCTGTTTTCGATGTTTCACAGTGATGAACGCTTTATCTTTGAAAGGAGAGGTGATAAAATAGATTAGAAAAGACTATGTTTATCTTGACCAGAACAAAAACAACCCAACTCACTGCCTCATTCAAGGACGGTTGCGAGCAATGACCCAATGGCACTGAATTCTGACCAAGCCTATCGATGAGCCCCAATATCGATCCAGGAATAAAATAATTTAGAAGCACTCCAACCGGTGAAAACACTTCGCATCAAATGGCTGCAAGCAAAACAGAAAAGCAGAGGCAGGGCAACAGAAAGCAGAACACCTCACATATCCACATCACAGTAAGAGAAGAGTACAGAGACTTCTAAAAACCTGCTTGCCCAACGTGAGTATGATGGGAGAAAGTCTTCGGGCACCTGAAAATAACCGATCTGATTTCAAAAACTGACTGGAGAAAGTCAAAAGAATCCCAAAAGGGGCGCCTGGGTGGCTCAGTCGGTTAAGCGGCCGACTTCGGCTCAGGTCATGACCTCGCGGTTCGTGAGTTCGAGCCCCGCATCGGGCTCTGTGCTGACAGCTCAGAGCCTGGAGTCTGCTTCGGATTCTGTCTCCCTCTCTTTCTCTGCCTCCCTCCCTCCCTCTCTCCCTCTCTATCTCTCTCAAAAATAAACATTAAAAAAAATTAAAGGAAAAAGAATATCAAAGGCCACTGTCAGCATTGTTCCATAGATTCTGCCCCTCACCGTTTTTCAACAATGGAAATAAGTAAGGTTTTCAGGGACTGTTAAGTATTTTCTTTACAGAATTTGCCTGTTGGAATTAAGCGACAACATTAGGATTTCATGAGACTAAAACCAGGGATAAAAAAAAAAAATCACATCAATTCTAAGTAATTTATCACACCACATTTTCATTTCCCTAAATCCTAGGGGTACCTGAGAGATTTCCCCCAGAGAATAAAGGAAAATCTGTCCATGTTTTTCTGGTTTGCTCATATGGAAGATGAAAAAAAGAATTTAATAGAGATTATAACATGATCTTACTGAATTATTAACCACAGTTTACTGGAAAGGAAAAGATCCTCTGTCCAATTCGAAAATATTAAATTTAAAGAGCACTTAAAGCGATTTGCTTTTTGGCAGAGGCTAGGAGGGGGAGCAAATTGTATCGCTCATGATAGGGTGCCTCTTGGCCAAAAGAGAATGTACATTTTTATAGTGCCTGCCCCAAACCCACCATGATCAGAAAGTCGAGGATGAATTTGCTTACCATATACGTGCACTGAGGTGTTAACGGATTTGAATGACGGGCCACTCTTCACATGACAAGTATAAAGTCCTTTGTCTCTGTTCTGCACATTGTATATCATAAGAACACTGTAGAACACATTAGCGTCGGAACTGCGTCGGCCAATTCGTTGCCTTATAGAAGCTCTCTTCTTTGCCTAGAAAGAAAATGTATAACAAATGTAGAAACAGTCTTGTTCACGCACAAGGGTACAGCATTTCTCAGGTTATGACGGAGAGCAACATTTTATGCCGAGAAGCAAACCCATCTAATGGCAAGATGTTTGGAAACTCTCTGTCTCCATGCGTTTCGAATACCTGCCCCAGTAACATTTGTTAGCACTTCGTTTTCTCCAGACGGACGTTCACGTGCGTTATCTCAACAGTTTCTCCCAACAACCCGGGGAGACGGGCAGCCTTGCTGCCCTCTGACAGGTGAAGAAACTGAAGTGTCAGAGACCACGATGGGCTGGAAACTCAGGCCTTCTGAGTGTCAATCTAGTGCCTTCCCTCTAAGCACACAGCCCTCTAAACAGTCCCCAGTTCTCTGCGCGTAGATATCACTAACTCAGGCAATCGTTATCTTTAGTGCCTGGCATAATGACTGCTTCTCGAATAGAACACCACGTGGGTTTCCTTTTGCTCTCTTCCTAGAAATGAAGGAGACAGTCCCGAGTCCTGGCTGCACGTACTAAGCTGTAACCGTCCTGGCCTCGCGATCTCGCTCTTTGGGCGATGCTCTCCAACTTTGGCCAAATCACACCAAATGGATCTGAGGACGTGCAAAGCCACCTACCCACTGGCGGTGGCAGCGGTGGGATGTTGTCCCGTGTTTGCCTCACTGAACACCAAGAGCAGGCCCCGGGGCTCAGCGGGTGTAAATTGGCCACAATGACTCCTTCCTGGTTTTGAGAAGATGAGATCACCTTGCCTTTTCCTTTCATTGTTCCTTCCCCGCCCCCGTGTTTCAGCATTACATTTTATAACACATAATATGTTTTTTCTCCCTCTCCATCCTTCCCCATGAGGAGGCATGGAAAAGAAAGACTTTGGAAGCTGTGCAGAACTGGTCTTTGGGTGTTAAACTTAGCACTCGTCTGTGCCATGTTTAAGAAACTTCTACCCACCTGTCCTTGCATTGCCCTGTTGAAACAGACACACGGTTAGGCCACTGTCTTCCTTCTCAGCAGAAACCGGAAGGAAGATGGCAATCACCACCGTCAAAAATCAGACAGTCGGTCCCCTAAATAGAGTTACGGAAAAGCCCTCGGTCTTTGTAGGTATTACTTCTGTCTTCTCGCTTAGAGAACTCTTGCCTTCTCAAAGTTGAATAACATTGGTATTGTTTCTGTCTTTGGAAAACAGCTGATCCTGGGGTTCAGATATCTGCTTTGGTCTAACACTGCAGTCATCAGCCACACCTAGCTTCAAAATTAAAATAAAAGGGGCACCTGGGTGGCTCCATCAGCTGAGCATCTGACTTCTGTGGCTCAGGTCATGATCTCACAGTTTTTGAGTTTGAGTCCCATGTCAGGCTCTGTGCTCAGGGCTCAGAGCCTGGAGCTGCTTCTCTCTCTCTCTCTCTCTCTCTCTCTCTCTCTTTCTCTCAAAAAGTAAGACAAACATAAAAATTTTGAAAAAATAAAGTTTAAAAATCCAATTCCTTACTCACACCAGCCACATTCTGGGTGCTCATTAGTCATATGGGGCTAGTGGTTACTATATTAGGCAGCAAACATCTTTCAATCACAGAAAGTTCTACTAGACAGCGCCATCTTAGAAGGTAACTGGCCGTCAGTAGATGTATCATCACACTCTTAGAGTAGAGCCACTAGCAGGGCAAGAGTTTCTTCCCTCCTGGCGTTTATTGAGAATATTTGATTTCTACCAAAACCCAGAAACATCACCGAGCTTGGGCTATGCTGCGTCAATCATACTAACACACGGCAAGCGGGTGCCGCGGGGACAGTTCGAGTTTCTTAACCGTTGATCACAGACTCCCCATCTACACATTTTCAGACGATTGTTTGCAAGGATGTTTGCTTTGAATGAGGAAACCCGACTTGGCCTTTGTTCTTCTCGTTTTTCTGAAGGACAGCACTGCCCCTTTGTCACTTCACAGACGGAGTACGGGATGGCTGGGCTGTAATATCTCCCCTTTCCAAACACGCTCCGATCAGGTGCCTGACTGTCGGCCAGTATCTTCAATTAATGCGCTGACAACAACTTTTTGTTGTTGTTCTTACAAAAGACAGTCCCTGCCTGGCATCTAGTGATAAATTTCTCTCTCATCTCTAAACCCCAGAGAAAGTTTCCAGGGATGAGACAATCCCCTCTTCCACCCGGAATCATGCGATAGAAATACCAGCCTAGACACTTCAAAACAAAGCCTCCAGACATCAAAAGACCGTATCTGTGCACACATACTCCCAAAAGTCAGACCAGGAAAGCATCCCAGCAAACCCACAGCTTCCCTGTTGACTCCAACGGCCACAGGAGTCGGAATATCCTGATTTTTCCCACCTCAAAAACGCACTGGCATTTCACTCGCCAAAAATAAATATCGCCCTATGGGAGAAATAGAAAAAAACGTCACTCACTTCACCGGGATAACTCCAGGTCATTTGAACTCTTGTGTTCAAGGCAGTGGTAGTTGTACAGTTGAGAGTAAGAGTGTGACCTCGTAGCAACTTGACTGGGCTTGGAGTGCTTATTTGGGCATCTATGATTGTATTGGCTGCAAGAACAAGAAATGAGATTTTTTTTTTTTAATCAAAGTTTCAGGGGCGCCCGGGTGGCTCAGTCGGTTAAGCGTCCGACTTCAGCTCAGGTCATGATCTCATGGCCCGTGAGTTCGAGCCTCGTGTCGGGCTCTGTGCTGACAGCCCAGAGCCTGGAGCCTGTTTCAGATTCTGTGTCTCCCTCTCTCTCTGACCCTCCCCCGTTCATGCTCTCTCTCTCTCTCTCTGTCTCAAAAATAAATAAACGTTAAAAAAAATTTTTTTTAATCAAAGTTTCATTAAGCAGATACACGCTGGAGTATTTTGGCTCACGTCCATGCCTCTGGAACACCACTTACTTTGTCGATAGGTAAGATAGTTTGTCTTGTACAGATGTCCGTTGACTGTTGTTTCACACGCCAGAAGCCCTATTTCTCTGTATGTGGCGTTTGCTATTATGAAACCCTTCCTGCTGTCCCAGGTTATTCGTTTTCCATCAGGGATCAGAGTATCATGTGGAAACTGAAAAGAAAGAGATGGGCTTGAACAAAATCGCACCAGCACCGTGGCGATACGGCTTCACCGATGGCTTCTGAAAACATAATTTTCACCGAAGATGCAAACAGCACAGGTAAAAACTCTAGTTTGTGCTAAATGGCTTTTTCGTTTTCTTCGCATGTAGCAAGAAACACATGATGATGACAAATTATAGTAATTATTATAAGAATTCATTATCAGCCTCAGCGACGAGCCGCACCCACCCAGGACGGACCCAGCTGTCACGTCGGACTTCCAGTGGGAGCCCTTATCACTTGGCCTCCGGGAATCAGCCTTGCAATAGACTGGCCTGATATTCGGTAGAGAAACCACTGAGGAATTTTTCCTCTGGGGCTGCCAGGTTACCCTCCCGAGTCCCATCATCTGGAGCTTTTAATAAGCCATAACTTGTCCTCCCATTTTTGCATGGCTTAGTAAAGAGGTGGCTGTCCTAAGAGGACCGTAGATAATTCCAAGTCCTTGGAGATGCACACCATTGACTTGGCTCTCGCTGGGGTTATCGTCTGGGAGGGAAAACGCCAATGAAACGGACAGCAGACACAGCTGCAAACAGATGCAGAGTGCTGTCATGAATGAAGTGCTCTCAAATTCTCAGAAGCATTCCCAAACACAGGGAGTCCAAACGGAAGAAAGGAATCCATGATTTGATTGGCCCTTATGCCTTCTGCTGGACGCCAAGGACTTTATTTTTGAAGACGGCGATATAAACAACCCGCCTCGAGGTCAGGCTTTACTAAGGGGCATTGCTGCATACTGAGGGGTCCAGCCAAATTCCCCCGATGCCAGATCGCCAGCCCAATTTCAGAGGCAGAGCACCCTGGCTACCACTGTGACTTATCTCCCGCTAAAAAAGGAAAAAGAACCAGACTACCTTCCCACAACAGATTATAAAGGAAAAGGCCAAACTGCCCTGAAGAAGTTTCAGATCTTTTCTGTCTTCTTTTAAGAAAGTGCACCTTGCGTTCGCTCCTCTGTTTATCAATTATTTATATTGCTTGCTGAAGGAGCTAATCTGGCCGGGATTTGTGACTCTATGGCAGAAATTCCTATGTGAAAAGTCACCAGTGCCCTGTCTCCGAGAGCACGTCTGTGTTGGTCTATGTCTGTGTTTCTTAACTCTGAGAGGAACTGCAGCCTGTTTCTGAAGACCTGCACGCAAGTGAGGGATGCACTTCGTGTTTCAGTAAATCGTGATTCCATCTACAAACTTAGGAATGCCAGGTGGAAGAGAAAGAACCTTCTCCTCTAATTCGGTGCACACGATGAAGGGAAAAGCTCAGGAAAATTGAAGTCAGGGATTGAAATTTCTGATGCCTTAACAGCAGGTGAACGCAGGGGCGCCTGGGTGGCTCAGTCGGTTAAGCGTCTGACTCTGGGTTTCGGCCCAGGTCGTGACCTCCCGGTTCGTGGGTCCGAGCCCTGCATCGCGCTCCGTGCTGACAGTGCCGGGCTTGCTTGGGATGCTCTCTCTCCCTCTCCCTCTCTCTGCTCCTCCCCTACTCGGGCTCGCTCGCTCTCTCTGTCCAATAAATAAAGCTAAAACAGCGTAGCTTTTTGCTGAATGTAAAAGGAATGTAAAAGGAAGGTTTGCTGAGGGACTTCTCAGCCCAACTGAAAAATATACTGAAGTTTCCTTTAAGGTTTTCGACTAAGATTCTCTTACTCTCATCTACCCTTACCGCCACTAATAGTATTCCATTGACAAAGAAACTTTGTTCAGAGGTGACAAGAGCTCATCAGCTACGGTGGTGGCTACGTGTGTCGTAAAGGGACAGGAGGATGAGCGGCCTCGAAAGAAAGGACTGTACGGGAGGCTGTCTCCAGGTGACCTTGGCTCTGCCACCGCTGGCCATGGGGAGAGGAGAGGGAGGGGACAGCAAGTTAAAAGGGTTAAGAGGAGAAGCGGGGGGCGGGGGGCGCGGAGATCTTAGAGCAACTTTAGGGCAACACAGACTCGTTCCAGTATATACGGGGCAAACCCAAACCCCTATTAGGACACTATGCCTTGCTCTCTTGCTTGTGTGTATTAGCGATCTTAGGTAGAAAAACCGAGAAAACAAACTTCCTCCTCAAATTTGTACACGTGGGAACCTGGGAGTGTTTCTTACAACAGACCAGCGATCTGCGTTAGAGCAAAAAGGCAAGGGGCTTGCACGAAACAGAGACGTTCTATATTAATCACAGAGAGATTATTACGTCAAACTAAGAGGAATGGATACCATGCTTGATAAGAAATATCACTGGATAATCAATCAAGCATTGAGTATTAAAGTGTTAGACAGATACCCTCGAATGGGGGCTCAGTTTGGGCCAGGAACAGTTCCAAGGGCTTTTAATGTATCACCTCAGCTACTTCCTGACATCCACGTGAGGCGGCTGCTACTGTAATCACCCCTATCTCTCCAGTGAGGATACTGAGGTGGAGGGAGTTCTGATAACTAGCCAGTTTGCCCAGCAGGTTAAGTGGTCGGGTGGTAAGAATCCAGGCAGCGTGCCACAGGGCTCTGCTCTTAACCATGCTGGCCTTTCTCCTGTACCAACTAAACCATTAGCAAAGGTGGCAAGGTCATGGAAGGAGGAGTCAAAATACGGATTCCGATGGCCATTGTGGCCTGCGGTGGGAGGGTCTTCAACTCCTCCAGAACCTCAGTTTTTCCTTCCACCAGTTGGGTTAGCTCCTCTGGCCATTTCCAGCTCTGAAATATACTGCTTTTCAACATGGGTGGTGACACACGGATACAATGGAAGCCAAGACCTGTCACCGATGGACTATATTGAGGGCTTCTATCAAATCAGTAATGTAGGAAAGTGAAGGCAAGGGAAGAAGACGCTTCCATCATACTCCAGGATTCAAGGTCAACAGTGATAGCGAAAATCACTCTGAACTTTTCCAACTCGACTACCACCATCACCAAACTCCTCCGGAGTACCCACAGTGTGAGCCGTCGTGCTGGGTGCTGCCTTGGTGCTGCCTTGGGACAGCCTTAACTTCCCCCTTTAAAGCTCAAAGCTCCTAGGAGTCACCACAGCTTTCCACCTGGGGAGTTCTTGTCCGACTTTCAACCCTAGTCCACTCCCAAACTCTTATTGCCGATGAATTAGCCGGAATGTCACATTTTAGTCCTTGTCTTTATTAGATTCGACTCCAAATCTTTTTCCTTCTCCACGTGCATAATTTATAGCACGGTATAAAGAATAAAAAAATCTCAAGCATAACTTTCTCTCCCCCTCTTTTCCCTTTTCCTAAGCAGCTAAGTTTGGATGCCCAGCAGGAGATAAGCTTGTTGTTACCAGGAACTTCGCGACTCAAACTAAAGGTGGTGGCTCCATAGGCACTTGTCTCATCGTTCCGTCCTCAGCAAAAATCTAGATTAACCGCTCTCTGCCAAGCTACTGACTCACAGAAGCAAGAGAACTGGGTTTTTTTCCCCCACATCTGCAGACATTTGGATTTGTGGCAATATAGAAACATTCCCACAATTTTAGTTCTTTCATTATATTCACACACATTTATGCCCACGTTATCATTTTATTTCATTTAAATACATGCATGGGTAGGACGTCTAGCACTTATCCTTTATAGTCAAAAGACACTCCAGAAAAGTCCACTGAGCAGCCCGAATGTCTGTAAGAAAACCATTCCAGAGCGATAAAATGACGAATTCACCGTGCTCATTTGCAGTAAAGGTATTCTGAGAGAAGCATTGCTCGGCTTTACCTTTTTTAAAGTAACAGTGACGTTAGGTGACGTGACCCGGCAGGGGATGACGACCTCCCTTCCTTCAGTCATATATATAATTTCGGGTATTTCACTGTGCATCTCTAAGAAAGGTCTATCTGTATCTGAATGAGAAGAAAATGCAAAAAAAAAAACAAAACAAAACATACATATAAGTGGTTGTATGAAGAACGTGTAGGCATTATGGCTGGTGAAACAGTATGGTCATGTCAAAGGTCCCCCATCACGTGACCCATAAATTCACACATTCTCGTCTCTGAATTTGGCCCTCTGTTTTTGCCCAGGAAAAGAATGCTTCTATAGCGAACCAGGTTCCTTCTTCTGTTCCTGGCCTGGGGTCAGATTGCCCCTGATGCCCCGATATGCAATTGTGAAACGGGCGGGGTGGCGGTGGGTTTAGGTCACTATGGGGAAGAAACCGTGAAAGTGCAGGGAAAAAGCAAGGAGAGTATTCTGCATGAACTTCTTGCCACAGCTACGCTAAGTGCCTCAGGAAGCGCCCTCCGGAGCCTTTGTAAGGAGTCAAAGGGCCCTGGATGCGATGGTCGGTTGACTTTGGAGCACAGATGACTGGCAGATAGAGGTAATGCAGACGTATCAACTTGGAGACAGGATTCGCATTTGAATGACAGAAGCCTGACTTCAAGACCATCCCCGGCAGAGTAATCATGAGTGAGAAGCTCTGAGCTGCTTAGGACAAGGGGAAAGGCTGGAGAAGCAGTGCTGAAGACCACATTCACTTCACAGGCACATCAGAGGTCTCTGGCACGCACTACGTATCTACGAATGGCATAACGTGTGCCAGTGCATGCAAAAGGACTGGAAAAGGCTTTAAACCATCACCCAGATACCACCCTTAAAAAGTATGGCATCTGGCCAAGTCTCAGAGGCCAGAAGGATTCAAACCACCTGTTCAGCTTCCCTGTGGTTCCTCTGGGGACCAGAAAGGCATCATATGTCTTAGAAACATTTGCACGGTCTACCTTGCCCTTGCCCTCAAGAGCCCGCTGCCATTTCACGACCTCTTCAGGAGTCGCTGTGCTCCCATCTACTGCCCTCGACTCCAGCCTTACACGCCCAGATGGAAAGAACCCCAGTGTCTACTCTCTCCATCTGGGCCTGAAAGACCCAACTAGGTCCCCACCTGCTTGCTGTACTTTAGGAAGCTCGCTCTGGATGCCGGATGGAGAATGGAAAGAAACAGAGGAAGAAGTAGGCAGTGGTTGCCTAGACTAGCTGGTGGCCATGAGGTTGTCATGGGGAGAACCGTGTCCCCCCAAAACACACAAGGTTGAAGCCCTGACCCCCAGGACTTCAGAGTGTGACCTCAAATGGAACCACTGCCCATGAAATTATCAGTTACGCACGGCGGGCCCCTACTCTGTGCGACTGGTGGCCATAAGAAGACGGGCCTACGTTGACAGACGTCGGAGGGAGAAGCCACATGAAGACCCAGGGAGAGATTGGAGAGCCGCAGGTGCAAGTCAGGGGAGGCCAAGGATCGCCAGCAACCACCGCAAGGTAGGAAGAAGCCAGGGAGGGTCCCCCTGCCGGCGTCCGAGGTAGCGTGGCCCTCTGACACCTTGGCTTCGACTTCTGGTTTCTAGAACGTGAGACAATAAATTCCTGTAGTTTTGATCCCCCAACCCCTGCAAAAAAGATGATACTGCTGGAGCCTGCTTAATATGGAATCATCTGGTACACACTAGATACTAGAAAGACCCTATTATCACAGCCCAGCTCACATGCCCTAGATTTCTAAATAACTCCTCCTTGTCCTCTGGGAAGCGTGCTGGGCCGGCCCCTTCCTTACACCCTTTCTCCACCCAGCCCACCCTCTGGGCTTTCCTCCTGGGCTATCCCACTTCAAATACTGGATGCTGAACGGGCAGGTTACTTCTCTGGCTACACGCTGGATGGAGAATTCCTAGAGGAGAAGAAACAGACCGTAGTCATCCCCGTCTGACATGCACTGAACGAACGAATGACCAAACGAGCGAACAAATGAACAAAATGGATGAAGGGCTACCGAACAACCCTCCTTTCACAGATGAGAAGACGGAGGTGTAAATATGTGAAGTGACGTGAGCAGAGCCAGGCCTGGAGGCCTCCTGACCTCCTTCCCCCGTCCCCACCCTCAGGGCTGGCATTCCCCCTCCCCTCCCCCCCTTCCCCCTGCCCCCCTCCCACCGCTCAGGAAGGGCTGCATCTGGCAATCGCTCCTCAGAGACTGAGGCTGATTCTCAGACATTCAGTGGGGAAAGGACGTGCCCTGTGTCCTACTGTCTGTCAACGGAGCAGTTCTGAGAAGAGGACAATCACCAAGGGGCCAGGGCGGTGAGGGGAAGCCTGGGCACAAGGCCCTTACGAGGCTGAGTCGGAGGGAAGCAACAGATCATGGTGGTTAAGAGCACACAGGCCAATCATTTTAGCCTCTGTCCTTCATCTGCAAAATGAACTTCAAAGGGTTCTTATGAGGGTTACATGAAGAACACTTACCTGGCAGACAGTGACCACTATAGGCGTGGCTTTTCTTATTATTATGAGAGATTTGAACTTAGGGACAGTAGGTGTTAGGGTATACGAAAATCGCAAATTATACCCGTGATCTTAACGATAAAAGGCAGAAATACACATTCATATATGGCGTAGGAAAAAGACAAATGAATACACTAAAATGTTTGAGGAGTGGCTTTACAGATTATTTTCTTATTTACCTTTTTATAGACTGTCAGACGGTCTAGAACAAGCATATGTTATTTTACAATAACATTTTGAATTATTGAAGGTAGGTCTCGAATTCTAAAGCAGCGTCCGTTTTTACTTGAGGAAAACTATCAATTCTGCATTGGATTTATTTCAGTTTTGCCCAACAGAATGGGACATTAACTGCACAGTTAATATGATATTTCTACCGGGAGAGCTCAGTGGGCGTAGCGACATACGGAGGGAGGAAAAGTTAATTATGCAGAGACAAAGATTCACTTATCAGCACAAAATTCCTCCCCTAAATAAAGTTGCTGAGCTAGACTTTCAGCCAGAAACTATTGGGATTTGATCATTCCTTTCCTTCCTCCCGTGAGTCTGTATTTTTGTCTTCTTTGTGAGTCCCAAGGTAAACACAAACACCAGGAAATGGTTTAATTCATGTAACTGAACTGTAGATCCTTCACATTTAATTTGCTGTCTCCTTAAGCAATAGTTTTCAACAAAGGGCCCTGGCATAAAAAGTTTGTGCAGGAAACAGTAAACATCAGTGCAGTCATTTCTAGGCTAATGAATGCCAATCCCAAATGAAAACAGAAGAGGTAAACTCACCGTGCCTTTGAATTTCTCCTTTCCTTTTGTCACTCTGGGTCGCCCAAACGCTTGAATTTTACTACATACCAGCTCTGGGCGCACTACGGTTCTGTTCAAAACTTCAGTGAATTGCGTCCGTCCCAACACAATGCAAGACACATCATTTGTATCAAGTCAACAGCAGCATTAAAATCCACTGTGTTTGCAAATCGGCTGATGACTGCGGATACACACACACGCGCGCACACACACACGCACACAATATGCTCTGGGCTTATTAATAGTATATACTTCCTCTGCAATTTGCTTCAAGGAAGGGCCAAGAATGAACTTGCCTGACATATTCTAATACAAACATTTTTTGTTTTGTAGGACCATAGATACAGAAGAGGTCACGGTTCCATTAATATCACCAGTAAAACCACTTACAACTCCCATAGGACGCATTTGTCTTTGTCACAAAATTAAAAATGACTTCTAAACTCCGCCAGCACTGCAGAGTGGTTTCCTGAGGCCAAATTGGCTGGTTGTCGAGTGAGGAAGAGCTGCTCCAAAGATTGTCGGTGTTCTGGCAGTGCAGACATGCTGTCACCAGGGACTCGCGCCGACGCACAGCTAGGTAGAGGTCATGCCACCCTCCCCTCTCTGAGCCTGCAGAGCTCAAAGCCATGAGAGGAAACTGGCACAGAATAGGAGTTTTCTCATCCGATGCGAGTATCTGGGCTACATCCTTCAGGACAACAAGCGGGCTCGGACACAGAGAAAGATCAAACAGGGATCCTTGCTCTGAATGGTATTACATCTATTTTTTAAATGGGTTTTTCGTTTTTCCTTTTGAAATAGGTACTCGCTCTGGCACATTAAGGCACACAGACACAGAAGCCCCAGCATGCCGTCCTCATTCCACTCCATCCCCACCGGCATCGCCTGGGAGTTCTTCCACTGGGTTCGGAGCAAGCAAATGACTCAAAAAATTCAAGGAAGCTCTGCGGAGTTGGAGAGGAGCTCAAAAGTAAATATCTTATTTCCGAGCACCTTCTCATTTGTATGATTTTTATGAGATTTTTCCTAATTTCCTTTCATTTCAGTTTCTTTACCTCTAATTCCTGGTCATGAGGACGCCTCATTATTTTAAAGGAGGATGTGATTTTCATTGATTGAGGACGAAGTGAGGAGGATGAACCAATCCCATGAAAAGGGCTCCCTCTAGACACAGGAGTCTTCATATCACACGGGTCCTTCATATCGTGGCCCATACTTAGTGCCCAAGGAGAGTCGGTTGATCAGGAAAATATTTCATTTGAAATACAAGCAAAAAAAAAAAAAAAAAAAAATTGTGGGGCCGGGGGATGCAATTCCCACACTGACTTATAGGGCCCATCAAAGCCTTTGCAAATTCGAAGCAGAGCTTTGGAGCAACCAGAAGAAAGCTGAAGTTGCTATACTAATATTAGATAAAATATACTCTAAAATAAGAAATGGTGCTAGAGATAAAGAAGGATACTTTATAATAAGAATAGGGTCAATGTATCAGGAAGATTTATAATTATAAACATATGCAACTAACAACAGGGTACCAAAATACAGGAGGCAAAAACTGACAGAAATGAAGACAGAAATAGACAACTCAACAATCATAGATGAAAATCTCAATATCCCACTTTCAATAATGGCAGAACAACTAGACAGAAAACAAAAAAGAGGACTCGAACAACACTACTAACCAACCAGACCAAACAGACACCTGTAAGAGATCCATCACAGTAGTATATACATTCCTCTCAAGTACACAGCGAACATTCTC